TGTCTTGCGAATCATTCAATTCGTACATGCCCTAAATTCCTGGAATTGTCATCAGAGGAGAGGAATGCTACAGCCAAACGCTTGAACCTTTGTTTTAACTGCCTATCCAAGTTTCATCTAAAGCCGAAATGTTCCAGTCGACGAAATTGTGCCGAATGTAATTCACGTCATCATACCCTGCTGCATCCAACAGGATCTTCAAAAATGGAAGGAGAATCGACTTCGATGTCAGCTTCAACGTCAACTTCAAAGAGCATAAATACGGGCACAATTGAAACACCAATTTTTCGTTCAACATTGCTAGCGACAGCAATAGTCTTGGTTTCTTCAAAACAAGGCAAGAAGATTCCTATGAGAGCAATGATTGATTTGGGAGGTGAAGCTAGTGCAATTTCGGAATCAGCAATTCAAACACTGGGTTTGAATAAAACAAGATGCCTCATCAATGTGGATCATCTGGATCACGTCCAATCAAAGAGTAATGGTGTTACCAGCTTCCAGATTCATTCCACGAATTCATCATTCACGACTGAAGTTCATGCTTTAGTTCTCAAATTGTTGATTCATCGACTTCCATCGAAAGAAATCTTCTTTTCGAATTGGTCGCACATCAAGAATCTACCACTCGCCGATCCAAATTTCAATCAAACCGGCCCAATTGACATCATTTTGGGAGCGGAGATTTATGGCGAAATTGTTCTCAGCGAAGTCATGAAAGGTCCCCAGGGAACGCCAACTGCACAAAAAACTGAGTTGGGATGGATTCTCTTCGGAAAAGCTTACAACAACAATTATCAGTCAATTTCAATGAACACAGTCCAAGTTGGTGAACTTCTACAAAAATTCTTTGAAATTGAAGAGATTTCGGAAGAAAGAATACACAGCCATGAAGATCAATACGTGATTGATTTCTTCAATAAAAACTATCGGAGAGACGAGGAAGGCCGTTTCATCGTGAAATTTCCATTTCGCACACCACTGCATCCAGAAGCTGTTTTGGGAAAATCGAGAGAAAATGCGCTAAAACAATTTCTACAATTGGAAAGAAAATTTGCGTACAACCCAAAGTTCAAAGAAGAATACGCAAAAAACATCAATGATTACTTGGTTCAAGGTCACATGCATGAACTTTTCGATACAGAATCGGACCGTTTATATTACACCGAAGACGGTCGTGCTGCTTATGACTGTTTCTATCTGCCACATCATGCCGTTATCAAAGAAACCAGCACTTCAACTCGTTTGCGTCCAGTCTACAATGCCGCAAAAATAACTTCAAACGGCAATTCGTTGAACTCAGTGCTTTTCACCGGACCAATGCTTCTCAACGATTTAGTATCGATTTTACTGAATTGGCGATTTCATCGAGTAGCTTTCATTGGTGATATTCAACAAATGTATCGCCAAATTCGTGTTGCTGAATGCGATATAACTTATCAACGAATTCTTTGGAGAGACAATCCGTCTGAAAAATTGCGAGAGTATGGTATCAGCCGACTGGGATTTGGCACAAATTATGCACCTTGTGGAGCGAATCAGTGTGTCAAAAAACTTGCTGAACTGAATAGCAATGAATTTCCACAAGTTGCGGAAGTGATGAAAAGAGATATCTACATGGATGACACCATCACCGGTTCCCACAACGTTAGTAGCGGTCTCCAAATTCAACGAGATTTGATACATATTTTCGATTCTGCTGGTTTTTGTATCAAAAAGTGGGCAAGTAATTCGGAGGAAATTTTAGCGGCGGTTCCAGAGTCAGATCGAGAAATTAGTATACCATTTTTCATCAATCCGGATAAGAAAATCAAAACGCTTGGTATCTTTTGGAATACCTCTTCGGACACTTTGAATTTCAACATTAGCTATGAGGACAAAGAGATCGTAACGAAACAATTCGTCTTATCAACAATCGCTCGCATTTACGATCCTCTCGGCTTGGTATCACCGATCACTGTGAAAACCAAGATCTTCATGAAATCATTGTGGTCATTAAATCTTGATTGGCACGACCCTTTGCCAACAAAAACACTTCGCGAATGGAAGGAATTCATCGGCAAGCTGCCTTTACTTTCTTCAATCAAAATACCGCGTTGGATTGGAGCATCCCCGATTTGTTCATCATTTCAATTACATGGTTTTTCGGATGCCTCAACTGAAGCGTATGGTGCTGGTATTTATCTACGTTGTATCGATGAAAACGGAGAAATTCACTCAAAAATCATTGTCTCGAAATCAAGGGTTTCTCCGATCAAAATTCAAACAATTCCACGTTTGGAATTATCGGCTGCTTTGATACTGGCGAAACTTGTCGAGTATACACAAAAATCTATTCGTCATCAAAGTTTTAACGCTTCGAATGTATTCCTTTGGTGTGATTCACAAGTCGTACTTCATTGGCTGAAAGGTGATGCGAGAAAATGGAAAATCTTTGTCGCAAATCGTATCACAAAAATTCTTCAGACAACCGAATCACATCAATGGAGATATGTTACAACTAAGGAAAATCCAGCTGATTTGTTATCAAGGGGATTGTTTCCATCAGAGCTTGAAAACAACGAACTTTGGTTCTCGGGACCAGCTTGGTTGAGATCGCCCGAAAATACCTGGCCCTCTAATACAAAAACGGAGAAGGAAGCGGTGAGAGAAATCGAATTGGCTGATGAGTTGAAACCTATCAAAATCAATGTTGTCAACGTAGTTTCAACTCCAACTCAATATCTTCTCGATTATTGTGCTGAATTAGTTCAATTATTGAGATATACTGCTTGGTTCCGTCGATTTTTTCAATATTTGAAAGCCAAACAAGAGGTTAAAAGGGGATCGCTTAGCGTTACTGAACTGAATAATGCTAATCTTCGTTGGATTTCCTTTGTGCAAAAGGAAAATTTTGGAAACATAGCGCTTCTTGTTCAAAGTCAAAGCAAAGTTAAACATCCGCTTTCGAAAATGAATCCATTTTTGGATGAAAATGAATTACTGCGTGTTGGTGGACGATTAAGCTTTTCGGAAGCCAGTTATGACCAAAAACATCCGTTCATTCTGCCGAAAGAAAGCCATTTCAGCAAATTGGTTATCCAACATCATCATCAACTTGCATTGCATGCCGGCGTACAACTCACCTTGGCCGAAATTAGACAGAAATATTGGATACTCGGCGGAAGAAATCCAGTTCGATCAGTGATAACCAACTGTGTCACATGCTTTCGAAACAAGCCTAAAACAGCGAACCAGTTAATGTCCAACTTACCGGCTGTCCGTGTTACACCATGTCAACGGCCTTTTCTACATAGGGGAGTTGATTTGTGTGGACCCATTTTGTTGAGAACTTCAAAGAAGCCAGGTAGCAGAATTTACAAAGGATACGTGGTTTTATTTGTGTGCATGACCATCAAAGCTGTTCACTTGGAACCCGTAATCGATCTATCATCAGAAGCATTTTTAATGAGTTTCCAGAGATTCATTGCTCGACGAGGTAAATGCAGTGATCTCTACTCAGATCGAGGTACAAATTTCATTGGTGCACGCACGATGCTTCGAAAAGACGAAGAAGAATATCTCAAAGCGATTCATTCAGCGCTTAAAGATAAACTTGCCAATTTGGGAGTCAACTTCCACTTCAATCCACCCTCAGCTCCATCCTTTGGTGGAATTTGGGAGTCAAATATTCGCCGAACAAAGGATCACCTCAAACGAGTCATTGGCGAGAAATCTTTGACATATGATGAATGGGCTACCATTCTTGCAAGAATCGAAAGCTGTCTGAATTCCCGTCCGTTGATACCAATGTCCGATGATCCAGAAGATTTGACTTATCTAACTCCGGGACATTTTCTGATTGGAGACGCAATGACATCCGTACCTGAGCCAAATGTTCTGGAAGTTTCAGTTCAACTTACTCATCGCTATCGAGCCATGCTGAAACGAGTACAGTCATTTTGGGCCCTTTGGAAAAAGAGTTACTTACACTCTCTTCAACAGCGTCAGAAGTGGTTGACAACACAACAAAATCTACAAATTGGTGATGTGGTGTTAATTAAGGAGGAGAATTTTCCACCACTCAAATGGTTGATGGGGAGGATAATTAAAACGCATCCTGGACCAGATGGTTTGATCAGAGTCTGTACAGTTAAGACCAAAGAAGGAACTTATGTTCGTCCCATTATCAAACTGGCCCCGCTTCCGATTGATGAACACAAAAACGTAATCATGCTGACATCATTCCCATCAGCTGTTGCCAAAAAATCATTTACCTTAGTCGTAGAGGGTAACATCGGTTCCGGAAAAAGCACTTTGCTGAATTATTTCAACAAATTCACCAATATTGACATTCTTCCCGAACCAGTGGAAAAATGGAGCAATTTTGAAGGTGTTAATTTGCTCGATCTAATGTTCAAAAACCGAAAAGAATGGTTCGTTCCATTCCAAAGCTATGTAGCTCTCACCATGCTTCAAAATCATTCAAGGACTACCGATAAAAACTACAAGATAATGGAAAGATCAATCTATAGCATCACAAACTGCTTCATTGAGGCGAGTAGAATGATGAATTTAATTCATCCTGCCCAGAATCAAATATTGAAGGAAATGCTAGAATTCATTATCGAAACCAGCCCGACCGAAGTTGACTTGTTTATATATCTGCGAACATCACCGGAGATTGCCTTAAATCGAATGAGGAAGCGTGATCGAGAAGAAGAAAATGGCGTGGGTTTGGAATACCTGAAAATTCTACATGAGTTACACGACAAATGGTTATTGAAAGAGTCATCTATACCCATCATCATTTTAAACGGCGATTTGAATGAAACCGAAATTGTAAAAGAATATGAAAAAATTCAAGCAAAATGTAACATTTTGAGGTGGGAGAATATGAATAGTCTTAGTAACCATATTTGAAAACTAAGAAATCTTGTCATAGAAAAATAAGAAATAAAGTTCAGTTATATTCAAAACCTCTAAGAAATCGGTTCTATTCTATTCAAAGATGAACATAAATACCATCCCGGTCCATCACGATTATGGTAACATCACTTAACTGCATTTTTTTATATGAATAGTTGGCATGTCTGTCATAGAGTTTTAGAATGGAAATGGAAGTGGACATGGACACTATATCGATCTATCATGTTCAAGTTAACACTATTTTTCATCATTCGATGGCCGAGCATGATAATTTTTCGCCCATTTTAACAAACACGACTGACTTTCTCAAATATCCCAAATCCAATGAAACATACAACCATATGATTGAAAAAAAAAATTCAAAGCCATACTGATCTTCATGAAAATTCAAACATACTTTAAAATAAGAACAATTGCAACATTCTATCCAAGTGATCTATATTTTACATTCTACCGAAAATGTGCGGAAAAGTTCGTTTTACATGGTAAAACATTTTATTTCGATTGACTTTGAGCGCCAGTTAATCCATCAACACCAGCTCTCACTTTTTCAACTGGTAGATGTAGTTTTTGAAGTGCCTCTTCAGTGAGCATTGCACCCTGAGAGCCTTGATCGATTGGCGCGCGTAAAGCGATTTTATCACCGTTCTCAGCCAACACTCGTGCAATCGCAGTGGCCAACAAGTTATCTTCATCTTTTGTGGCCACAGCACAATTCACATTAACCGTCGATTCGTTGCTTTTTGTTTTTTCTTTTTTCATTTCAAAATGTAATAGCGTGTTATGTTTCTTGTTACATACTTGCTTTTACATTGGGGAAATTTGCTTTTACACTCCCCTTGGCGATGAAATTGCAAGCATACATAACAAATCTTTTTCTCTTTTGCCCAATCATAACGTTTTTGTGTACTCATTGCTGAAAATTCGTCGCATTTATACACAGAATGCTGCTTTCCACAATATGTACACCCGAATGGAACAGCTTCTTTTTTCGTCGTTTTCTCGTAGTTCTTTTCACTAAACTTTTCTACCGTTTTTTCACTGTTTTCAGTTGCCAACAATGCCATAAAACGGTCTTCAATGTAAGTTAAAAATTGCTTTAATGATTGCAACTCACGCACATCGGCGAGCTTGCTTTCATAATCGAGCACTATGTTTTTACGTAACTGAAGAATAATGCGAGACAATATCTTCAATAAAGGGATTGAGTTAAAATGAATTAAACAGCTTGAACGGAGTTCAATTGGTTGTGCTTCACTGTTAGTTTGAAACTGAATTTTATTTTGCTTCTTACTTACTAAGTTACATCGGTTAACCTAATTAATTCCGAAGTGCAATTGAAATAACAAAAAATGCAATTATGAATAAGTTGCTTATATGACAAATTGAAGTTAAATTTCGCAGAATAAAAATGTAAACAATTGAAATGATAACAAAAAATATTCTCTGTAATTGACACTAATAACTAACTGAATCATCGTCATGCATGTCATTAGACATTCTCCGGGCCACTTAAAGCGATTGGCGGTGTCCCAAACGGCGTGTCAAATCTTCAGATAGATTTGGCATCGAAATTGCACGTGGTAATCTGATTCGTCTATTACCCCTGATGAAATTTACAACATAGAATATCAAGCATACGACGATGAACAGAGTGAAATAGTTTACCGAATAGTTATGAATGTCATGAATGTCGATTTTTTCCTTTAATTTAGATTGACTTTCGATAAATTTTAACTGATTTTGTAGTTTAGTCAAATTAGTTTTGGCAAATTC